AGGAAGTATTTTCTTCAGTAATCTTTTGGACTTCCTTTTCCATTTGGCCAATTTTCCTTTTTAGGGCATTCTTCTCCTCATTGGCTTTTTGGACCTCTTTTGCCATTTGGGTTAGGCTATTTTTTAAGGTGTTATTTTCTTCAGCATTTTTTTGGGTCTCCTTTAGCAAGCTGTTAACTTGCTTTTCATGATTTTCTTGCAGAACTCTCAGTTTTTCCTCTACTTCTCTTGCTTCTCAAAATCCCTTTTGAGCTCTTCCAAGACCTGGGACTGATTCATATTTTTCTTGGAGGCTTTGGATGTAGGAGCTTTGGCTTTGTTGTCTTCTTCTGGTTGTATGTTTTGATCTTCTTTGTCACCAAAGTACGATAATATAGTCTGACTCTTTTTGCACTGCTTACTCATGATCCTAGCCAATTACTTGAGTTTTAAACTCTTTGTTAAGGTAAAAGTCTATTTCCAGTGTGGAGAGTGTACTGTCCCAAGCTTCGGGGATTTGTACAGCTGTTTTCAGAGGTACTGCTAGGGACCTGTAAATTTTCACTTCTTCCAAGGTGGTATGATAAGGGGTGAGGTGTTTCCTCTCCACCACCACAACAAGCTGTGGTGAGGCAGGAGTCTCTTGCTTTACCCGTGCTTGGATCTGAGTCACAGTTCTGAGGGGTGGTTCTGGGGCGAGGAGGAGTGCTGATGTGGTGGAGCTTGTTGTGGTGGTGGAGAGGAAACTGCGCTACTCTCCCTGCCCGGCGTGATATACCTTTCTGATCAACCATCCAGGCTGTCTTTGGCTGGAAATTTGTTTCACTCTGTGTTTTTGTGGGTTCTGCTGCTTTAGAATTTGTTTAGAGCCATTTTTATAGGTCTTTGGAGGGGTTTGAGGGGAGAGCTCAAGCAAGTCACTGCTTTCCCTCCGCCATCTTGGCTCTGCCCCCCATGAATGAAATTATATGTTCACTTGTGTGATGTGTTGAATGCATTAGCTCACTCAGGAAGGTTTTTAATTCATCTTCTGAAGTCGAGAATTTTCCTTAATAGAAGGCCCCCTAGAGTTGTCAAAGTAATTTGCTATTTTATGTTTTTAATCTCTAGCAAATCTCTGAGTAGGTTTTAGGGTCCTGTTTTCACACAGAATAGCCTCCTTTGAAGTTGGCATGAACTACTCTTCACAATGAAGCCAAATAGTTCTGGGATCTACAGGGTAGACATAAACATGCTGTAGATGAAGGGTCTGTATGCTTCTACACTTGGGGGCCATCTACTGGAAGGAAAAGGGCAAATACGATGTCCTCTAAAGGCAGAGTAGTGGCATTGAGTGGAAAAGATACTAGTGCCCTCTTCAGGTACTCAGAAGCTTCTGGTTAGGGGGGAAAATCGTCATATTTTTATAATTACCAGTTTAATGAGAAAATAAACTTCTATGAATAGAAATAAATACCAAATCATGCTATGAGGTCTGTGGGAAATGGCTGAATATCACCACTGCTAGCAGGTCTCAAAGGAGGATTCCAAATGGAAACCTAAATTCTGTCATTAGTAACCTTTGAGAAAATTAAAAGACTGTTTTCTAGACAGTTTTAAATCATCTTGAGTTCTGAATTGAAATTTGACTAAAGTTCAGTTTAACTAGTTCCTAAGTGCTTGATGTACAAAAGGCTCAGTGCTAGGCAGTGGTGGATGTTTAGTCTAGAAGCCTGAGAGAGATTTTCTGTAGGAGTCATAATGCTTTCTTATTTCAGTTTGTGAGAATGTGATTGGGGTAGAGGACTGAAGTGGGGAAGGCCACCCAGGCCCTTTCATTGGCCTTCTGTCGTGGTTTTCTTCAAAACTGATCCCTTCAGTTTCATTTGTTTCCCTGGGCTCTACCTCCATCTGCAGTCACTTTGACAGTTCTGTTGCCCTGTTCCCACTGATCTTCGTGTTCCTTTAATGTTAGAGATTGCCAAACGTTAGAGATTGTAACAGGTGTTGGGATGTTTTTCACCAAAAGTTTGGTTTTCACCAGGTTCTTGGGGGGGGGGTCCCATTGAAGGTTGTTGTTAAGTGGTATTACAGGGGGATAAGCTAGAAGCTTTCCCCATAGTATCAGGGGTGAAACAAAGATGGCCATTATCACCACTGTAAGTCAATATTGTACTTGAAATGTTAGCTTTAGCAATAAGAAAAGAAAAAGAAATTGAAGGAATTAGAATAGGCAATAGGGAAACAAAACTCACTTTTTGCAGATGATATGATGATATACTTAGAGAGTCAACTAAAAAACTACTTGAAATAATTAACAACTTTAGCAAAGTTGCAGGATGTAAAATAAACCCACATAAATCATCAGCATTTCTGTATATTACTAACAAAGCCCAGCAACAAGAGATAGAGAAATTTCATTTAAAGTAATTGTAGATAATATAAAATATTTGGGAGTCTGCCTGCTAAGACAAACCCAGGAACTATATGAACACAATTATGAAACACTTTTCCACACAAATAAAGTGAGCTCTAAATAATTGGGAAAATATCAGTTGCTCACGGGTAGGCTAAGCTACTATAATAAAAATGAAAATTCTACCTAAATTAATTTACTTATTCAGTGCCATACCAATGAAACTACCAAAAAATTATTTGATAGAATAGAAAAAAATAATAAAATTCATCTGGAAGAACAAAAGGTCAAGAATATCAAAGGAATTAATGAAAAGAAATGTAAGGGAAGGTGGCTTAGCCATACCAGATCTAAAACCAGATCTAAAACTATAAAGCAGCAATCATCAAAACTACTTGGTACTGGCTGAGAAATAGAGTGGTGCATCAGTGGAATAGGTTAGGTATACGAGACACAGTAGTAAGTGACAATAGTAATCTTCTGTTTGGTAAACCCAAAGATTCCAGCTTCTGGGATAAGAACTCACTATTTGACAAAAACTGCTGGGGAAACTGGAAAATAGTACGGCAGAAACTAGGCATAGACCAACATCTTACACCATCTACCAAGATAAAGTCAAAATAGGTTCATGATTTAGGCATAAAGGCTGATACCATAAGCAGATTAGGAGAGCAAGGAATGGTTTACCCATCAGATCTATGGAGAAGGGAAGAATTTATCCCAACAGGAGATAGAGAACATTATGCAATGCCATATGGATAATTTTGTTTATGTTAAATTAAAAAGTTTTTGCACAAAACCAGTGCAACCAAGATTAGAAGGGAAGCAGAAAGCTGGGAAACAATTTTCACAGCCAGAGTCTCTGATAAAGGCCTCATTTCTAAGACATACAGAGAACTGAGTCATTTATAAGAATATAAGTCATTCCCTAATTGATAAATGGTCAAAGAATATGAACACGCAGTTTGCAGATGAAGAAATTAAAGCTCTCTGTAGTCTTATGAAGAAATTGCTCTAAATCACTATTGATTAGAGAAATGTGAAATAAAACAACTCTGAGGTACCACCTCACATCTATCAGATTGGCTAATATGACAAAAATAGAAAATGATCAATGTTGGAGATGATGTGGGAAAATTGGAACACTAATGAATTGTTGGTGGAGTTATAAACTTATCCAACCATTCTAGAGAGCAATTTGGAACTGTACCCAAAGGGCTATAAAACTGTGCATACACTTTCATCCAGCAATATCGCTTCTAGGGCTGTATCCCAAAGAGAGCATAAGAAAGGGTAAAGGACCCACACATACAAAAGTATTCCTAGCAGCTCTTTTTGTGGTGGCAAAGAATTGTAAATTGAGGGGATGCCCATCAATTGGGGAATGGCTGAACAAGTTGTGGTATATGAATGTAACGGAGTGCCATTTTTCTATAAGAAATGATGAGCAGGCAGATTTTAGAAAAACCTGGAAAGACTTATATGAAATGATGCCGAGTGAAGTGAGCAGAACCAGGAGAACATTGTACATAGTAACAGAAATACTGTGTGACGATCAACTGTGATAGATTTAGCTCACCTCAGCAATGCAAGGATCTAAGACAATTCCAAAAGACTCAAAATGGAGTATGCTGTCCCCATCCAGAGAAAGAACTGTGGAGTCTGAATGGAGATTGAAGCATACTATTTTCTCTTTTTTCTTTTATATGGTTTTCACCTTTTGTTCTGATTCTTCTTTCACTACATGACTGATGTGGAAATATGTTCAACAGGATTGTACACATATAGTCTGTTTCAGATTGCTTGCTATCTTGGGGTGGGGGAAATATTTGGAACTCAAAGTCTTATAAAAGTGAATGTTGAAAACTATCTTTACTTGTAATTGGAAAAAAAAATAAAATACTGTTAAGAAAAAAAGTGGTTTTGCATTCTGTGAATATTCAAAATCACTAAATTTCATTGTTGCAAGGTGCCACAGTGACCCTCTCGTCTAATGCATATTTGAAAGGATAACAAATGGTTATCCAGCTGCCATTTGAAGACTTCCACTAAGAAGGGAACACTTCATTTTTCAAGACTGCCCATTCTCCTTATGGACAGCTCAGATTGGCAGGAAGTCTTTCTTGACATCAAGCCTCAAATTGCCTTTTTACACCTTCCACCCAGTCCTCCTGGTTCTCATCAGTAATCTTTTTGAACTGTGGTACCCAGATCTAGATATAACATTGCAGTTGTGTTCTAACTCCAGGGCATATGTCATTCAGCAGGGCTGTTGCCTACCTGGTAGTTCTAGACCCTGTGCCTCTCTTAATGCCTAAGATTCCAATTGCTTTTTGCCTGCTGTATCAAGTGCAGTCCCCTAAAGCCTTCAGATCATTTTCCAGACAAACTGCTGTCTAGAAGCCCAGTCATGTGGTTTAAAACATTGTGTGCCTTTAAAAAAATTCTTTACATCTATCCCGGAAGAGATGGAAAGGGAACCTTTTAAAACTGTTCCCCTTACTACCCCCTGAGTTTGTTTTTCTGTTATTTTTATTGGGTGGTTGGGGCAATTTGACATTAACTATCAGCAGTATAAGGAAAATCTGGCTCTCAGTAATTGCTGTGTTCTTTTTCTCTTTCCCAGGACTAACGGATAAGGATCTAGAAGGTATTATAGAGGACGGCTACAAACCCGATAAGGGCAAAGGTAGGCATTTTGACTCTTCCAACTAAATTGGACAGACCTACCCCTGACCTAATATCATTCTTCAGTTCTGTGAAAATGTGACTTTAGGCAAAACGTCATGTTGGGGCAGCTATTTTCATAGCAACAGTAGTCTAAATGGAGGATCTGTTCTTTGGCAGTCAGAATCCAGACTGTCTTTATAGAGATGGATATTTGCAACCATTATAACAGGACTGGGTTGCTGACATGATGATTGACATGGCCTGGCCTGCTCGGATGGCTCACAGACCCAGGCTTTGCTGACGTGATCCACTAAACCAACAGTGCAGTCCTTGAAAGGGCATTGGGCGTGTGTGGGGGGGTTGGGAGAAGGAAGTGTCTCTTAAGGATAAATAGCCAAAAACCCAGATGTTCTGCAAGGAGGATCAGGAAAGTGGGTAACTCTTTGCTCTTGAGCTCTCTCTTATAGTCAGGCTTAAGACTCAACTGTAAGCTGTTGGGGACCTACCTCAGAGGCCGTCTTGCCCGATCTGTCTGTGAAGATTCATTCCCTATTGTGTATTATCCCAGCCAATTCCCCAATTCTCTGATGACTTTGGACCTTGTTTCTCTAAATAAGGAAAAGCTGTTGTTCAAAACTGAGGAAGGAAGAAAGGAACGGAGTAATGGATAATTCCCCTTAATAAAAGAATTTGTTCTGTAAAACTTGGACTTAGTCAAAAGCTGCACCCAAGGACCTAGAAGGCCACATATGGCCCCGAGGCTGCAGGTTCCCCACCCCTGGTTTAGAAACTCTTAAGCCTTTGAAATTTATTTTCTACTGTCTTCCTTCATGTTTGAGAAGCAATTTACCTGATGCCACCATATTCAGAATCAGGCTGCTGCTAAAGGCAACCTTCTTTACAGCGAGCCATTTCTTCATAACTAAGGTGGTTTTGTGAATGATAAAGAGCCATACCGGCTCTAGGATTAGGCTAGACTGGTGTCCTGGAAATGGCTAAAGGACTTGATGGTGGGCCTGTTTGCCAGTAGGGTTTGATTATGCTATTTCAGGGGCCCCCCCCAGTACTGCCCATTGAATTGGGACATCTCTTTGTGGGGGATGTCTTCAGCCTCTTGGGAGGACAGTGTCGTTTTCTTCACCGTCTCAGCTTTCATTTTGATATGAGCTGAGCAGCTGCTCAGAGAAAGAAGAAATTGAACCGAAGTAATGAGCCCAAATAAAATAACCTGCATTTGTGGTGAGGGGCTAAAGTAGACTCTGATTTCAGCTGAGAGAGCCAGATGTGTGAGCTCTGGGTCTTGGTGTGGGGGCTCGGGGGTGGAGGAAGAAAATTGAGAAAGGAAATATGGTCAGACCGGTAAGCCTGAGAAAGGTCCGTCAAGCCAAGGCATTTTGTGGCATCAGGGTTTTTTCCTTCTTTTAAAATGTTTTATATTTTTGTTTTTATATCACAGTTATTTCTTGCTATACTCCCCCTCCTGCGAGACTTGTATCCTTCCTTGTAAGAAATAAACACAGTTAAGCAAAAACAACAGACAGCGTGCCTGCATCTGACAGGGGAGAAGGAGGAATACAGACAATTTTCACCTTATGTAAATTCACATTACACAAATCCGATGTTGTGTAAAGAATTCTAAAAGAAATCCGCATTCCAACAGCACACCTGTGTGGACTTTATTATACAGTACTGTTGCTCGAGCTCTCTGCTCCTGTCTATCAGCTCAGCCCTCTGAAAAAACCTCTTAAAAAATACCCCTCCAAGTGAAAGCAGAAGAGTGTGTGGAGAGACCACCACTGCTGCTTCGGAAACCTCCAGAGCTGGGAGAGGAGCCCTTTGCCCTGATCCCCCCACCCGCACGCATGTCTGCCCCTTCCTGTCTGTTTTCTGTCGTCAGCACTAGGTACTGCTTGTCTGTCCCCGGGCCCATGTGTGTTCTTCCTCTTGGTTCTGGCCAGGCCCCCACATGGCTTGCCCCAGCCCCTCCATGTTCCTCTCCTTGCTCTCGTTTCTCTGTCCCCAGCCCCAGTGTGTTTTGCATCTGTGTGTTGGCCTTCTCCTTCTTCCCATCCCCCTATCCTGCCCCAGTCTATGGGCATATTTGCATTATATCCACTTATATAAAGTGTTAGGCAACCCTGTCCCCTGTTTACTTGGCACAGCAAGGCCTTGACCCTCCTACTTTTGACCTGACACTGACTCTTCTCTGTGCTGCATAATTTACAGGCCTTGTCTTTGCTCTGAGCCCAAGTCAGCAGTGATCCTTCTCCGGGAATGGCTTCTTCCTCCAGGGAAGGCCACTGGCTTTATCACTTAGACCTTGAATGGCTTTCCTGGGCATTTCATTTCTAACAGGAGGTTCCAAAAGTCTCTTGAGTGAAACCTCCACACGTTAGGAAAAGGAGTATTAAAAGGGCAAATATTTGGTTTTAGCCAACTCGTACTGAGCTCTGGCTGATTTTTCCAGCTGTTTCCATTATGAACATGCATATTTAGTCAAACTGAGGAGGCACAGAGGGCATTTTTTTGTGGGGGAGGCTGTTTGTTTGGGTTTTTATTAGGTTGACATTTTACTGCAGAGAAAAAGGAGGAGAAAGATCCACAGGGTCCTCATATAGAATTCATTGATTCAGCAATCATTTCTTCAGTGCTGGCGAGGTTTCTGGTATTGTGTTGATATACAAAGACATCAATGAAAATACTTCTGGCTATCATGGAACTTATTTTCCCCATGGGGGGAAGCAACATTATCACAGAAAAATAAATCCAAAGGAAATACCAAGTAATTTCAGGGATTTGCAGGGATAGGGAGGATCAGAAAAGAAGGATCTCTCACGTTGGAGAAGGTACTTGAGGTAAGTGCTGAAGGAAGTCAATCATTCGGGAAGCATTTATTAAGTGCCTACTATGTGCCAGGCGCTGTGCTGTGTACCAGGGATACAAGGAAAGCCAAAATAGTCTCTCACCTCAAGGAGCTCACAGTCTAATTACGGAGGTGACATGCAGGAGGCCACATAGAAACAAGCTATAAACAAGGATTAATTGGAGGTGATTATGAGAGGGAAGGCATGAAGATTAAGAGCGAATGGGAAAGGCTTTGAAGGTGAGAGTTTAGCAGAGACTTGAAGGAAGCCAGGAAAGCCAGGAGGTTGAAGTGAGGTAGAGTATTCCGGGGATGGGGGTCAGCCTGGGCAAATGCCTGGAGTTGGGAGATGGAGTGTTTTGTGTGTGGAATAGCCAAGAGGCCAGTGTCATTAGATTGGAAAGACTCCAAATGGAGGGGGTACCAGCTCTGAAAGGCTTCAGAAGTCAAACAGATGATTGGAGAGTTGATCCTAGGGGAGACAGGCAGCCACTAGAGCGTTTGGATTAGGAGTGGGTGACACTGTCACAACTGTACTTAAGGAAAGTCAGTTTCCCAACTGAGCAGAGGATGGGTTGTAGTGGGGCAGTAGTGTAGTTGAGGAAGGGAGACTGACCCGAAGGTAATTGTCATGGTTGTGGCATGAAGTGATGAGAGTCTGGATCAAAGTACTAGTGTCAGAGGACTGAGAAGGGAATGGACCCAAGAGATGTTGTGAAGGTCCAATTGACAGGTCTTGGTAACAGATTACCTAGGGTGAGAAGTGAGTTTGAGGAATCCTGAAGGACATCTGGGTTGGGAGCCTGTGTATTTGAGAGGTTGTTGCTGGTACCTTTGACAGAAATGAAGACGTTTGGTAAGAGAGGGTTTGGGTGGAAAGATAATGAGGTCACTTTTAGACAGGTTGAATTTGAGGCATCTACAGGATATCCACATCTACGTGTCCACTTGGGAATTGGAGACGTGAACGTTGTGGGGATAGGACATGGAGACAGGAAATGAGATGGGTTTTGTAAAGCATGGGTTGGAGAAGAACCTTTTCTGCTTTGAGGTCCATGCTGTAAATATGTAAAAAATTCAAATCCTGATTTCTGTTACCTGCCCTTAACTGCCAGGTTGTTCTTATTTCTTTCTTAATGAGTTCAGTGCCTGGCTCACCATCCTGTGCTTCACCCCAACTCTTACTCTCATGGTATGAAACTTCTACACTCTATCTCTCTCTTTCTCACACACAGAGAAGGTCTTAACCTTGACCTCACCATCACTTATACATGTTCCACTCCTGTGTTGATAAACTCTGAAATTCTTTTATGTGAATGACCTTTTACCTCCTTATTATCCCAGACCATCATCCCTACTCTGACTTTCCTCCTTTGCTTAGTCTGATACCTTGGGGATCCAGTTTAACTCTATAATAATGGTGTCAAACTTGAATAGAAGCATCCCTGTGAGCTGCGTATTGACTTAGAAAACCACAAAATAACATTCTCTGTGTTGTATTGCATTTTTATATATTTTTGTTAAACATTTCCCTGTTACATTTTAATCTGGCATCTCTGCTCTATGGTATTCTTTACTTTGTAATCCCTTAGCCCAGGAGTGAGGAACCTGCCTTAGTCTCTAGTCTTGATAACAGTCATGCCTTGCCACACACCTCAGCCCTAGATGACCCCTGTCATCTACCTCTTCTTCCTGTTCATGTGGTGGAGGGAGCTGTAATGTAATTGTAATGATTTGGTCCACTCTGAATTTATGGTGCTAATCTCACCTGCACCCTCAATTCTTACAGTCCTCTCTAATTGATTCTCCATTCCACTCACAAGAGCAGCTATTCCAAACTTTCCTGTAGCTCCTCAAGCCTTCCCTGGCATATCCTCCTCCCAGCTCAGTTGAAAACCTCATTTTCACTCTTCTTTTCGATGACAAGGCCCACCTTTCATTTGCCAAGGCCTGCTTCTCTGCGGGTATCTTTGATCCTGTCCCTGTCTCTTCTTTTCTAGCATATCACCCCCGTTCTTTCTCATCTTCAGTATCTTCCTAGCTCTTTCCCTGCTGTCTACCTACAAATATCCTCTTATCCCCCCTTCTCAAAAATCTCCACTAGCTTTTGTTCGGTATCTCTCTTCTCAGCTGAATTCCTTGTAAAAGTAGTTTAT